ATCTATCTATCTATCTATCTATATCTACTATCTATCTATCTATCTATCTATCTATCTATCTATCTATCTGTTTAACAGTCAAAGACTGTTACTGTACCATCATAACAGCCAATTAGCTTTAATTTTATTTTATTATATTAATTAAATTGCCTTTCCAATGTTGAGAGTAATTTTAATTGAACTTCAGTTTCAGTTTAATTGAAATAAATTAAATTCGAACATGTCGTAAATATTTGCAATTGAATTAAATTATAAATCAACCATGCAGAAACTCTATTAATTAAGTTCACAAGCGAATAAATATAAATAAACAATCCCTAAATTTTTGCACAAAATTTTTAAGTTGAGAAAAATATAATTTTTTTTTTCTAAAATCATATTAACGAATATGTTTTCAATTCATTTGCAACACTTCCTGCCAGTTAATTCAAACATTTCCCAATTTTCTAAGGAAATGCCTTATGGATCAAAGCAAAAAGAAATGGATACGAAATAAATGAAAATGTTGAAAGATTTTTTTAGATTTTTGAAATCCAAACACATTTATTAACTAACCATCAAAGGGGAAAATTATTAGCTGTATTTTCATATGCATGTTTCAATGAATTTGTTTGACAGTGTTTCTTTGTACACCCAGCAGGTTCGTCGAACAACATTATGCGTTTGTTTTTTGTATGACTGTCATTGAATTTGGTTTTGACTTCCATAATTTGATACTGCAACATTGTGTTGCAGACATAAAACCTAAAAAAACTGCATACATAATTATGCATTTAAATTTGTTTGACATCCTTTTGTATTTTTTGTTTGAGGAATGTTGTCAAACATTAACGGAAATATAGTGATGCATAATAATTAATGTTAATTTAAATCAGACACATGAACATTGTGAATCATAATGCATACATAGATACAATGTCTTATGTATTCTACAATTAATATATTCCTACCGAAACCTTTTTTTAATGGCGAACACTTAACTTAAAACTTATTTAAAGTAATCAGAAATAAATTGAAACTTTTTAATGTAATTAAAACTTTAGAACTGTCTATAGAAAAGATCACATAGGACTTTCAACAGTCGAGAGTCAAGAGTATAAAGTTGATAGAATATATAACAGTCTATAGTCAAAAGCCTTAAGAGCTGTATGTGGCCATGAAACTGTCTACAGATGACTACTTCAGTCAAGATATTGAGAAGTTTCTTTGAAATAATCGGAAACAAATTGAAACTTTTTAACGTACCCGACAATAAAACTATCTATTGTGATGAGACTATATAACGTTTTATGGTCAAGAGTCTAGAAAGTCGAAAGCCATTTGTAATCGTGAAACTATAGAATCGTCAAGAGATCCCAGAAATTTCTACATCCGGGACACTATACAACTTTCTTTACTCTAAGATAACTTTTTTAGACATTAGACTTTTACACTTTTTATTTTTATAAATATAAAAATTTCTCAACCAATATTCGCACCAAACAAAATAATGAAAAACACCTTTGGTGGTTAATGATGTTTTAACGAATTTTTTGTTTTAAAATCTTGTGATACACTCACTAAAATACTCATAGATACTTATTTTAAATAATATATAAACATGAATAAACAAAACCATAAACTATTGCGTTGCGGTTAGAGTAAAAAAACAATAATGTGCGATTCAACATTAAAAATAAAATAACAAAAAAACTATTAATTACTAAATGTTAACGACTTGTTAAATATAAATATAATCATTTTCGCTTAATCAATAAATAAATGAATATAAACTCACCTGAAACTTTTCCTGGCAACCCGGTAAATTACTGGAATATTTAACACAGCGACCAATATTAATACTATGAACATTGGTGATGCCATTCCGAACACACCAGTCTAAATTGTTGCGCATTTTGCGTATAACACTACTGCTCAATAAAATGCCAGCATTTAAATCACAGTAATTACGATCGCTTAACATACGAAACTCATCATTACTAGCAGCGGCAGCATCAACACCGCCAGCATTACTATCACCATCAATTACATTGCCAGACAAAGCGGCCGCCGCCATAACCCCATCTCTACCCGCGTTATTGTTGACGCCATAGCTGCTGTAACTGCTCTCAGCAGTTGCTCCCATATATAGATCAAATGTTATGCTCATATGATACAACATCTCTTTCAATTTTCGTGCATCCACATAAACGTTGTCTTGTATGATTAGAAAATAATCATAATCGTCTAGATAATTATCTGCAATGTATTTGATGACATGGAATGGTCGCAGATTTTCCCGTGTGTCTGTGAAACCAACAATATTCTTTAATTTGTAATTGGTTTTAACATTGTCGGCATTGATGAAGAATTTAATTTTATTCACTAGATGAGCTGTTGTGCGATTTATCGCTGTGGCCAATGTATTGATGTTGTCTTGGGTTGTCATGACACCAATAAAGATTTTCTCACGAATACCCAATTCGGAGGAATAATAGCGGGGACGAATGACATTTTTCACCTGAAAATAATCGAGAGACATTTGTTTAGATAAAATTTGGAATATAAATGGTTTATTAAAGTGTTTTTAAACTAAACAAACTGAAATAGAAACTGAACTAGAACTAGAACTGAACTAGAACTGAACTAGAACTGAACTAGAACTGAACTAGAACTGAACTAGAACTGAACTAGAACTGAACTAGAACTGAACTAGAACTGAACTAGAACTGAACTAGAACTGAACTAGAACTGAACTAGAACTGAACTAGAACTGAACTAGAACTGAACTAGAACTGAACTAGAACTGAACTAAAGAACTAGAACAGAACAGAACAGAACAGAACTAGAACTGAACTGAACTAGAAAGAACAGAACAGAACAGAACAGAACTAGAACTGAACTAGAACTGAACTAGAACTGAACTAGAACTGAACTAGAACTGAACTAGAACTGAACTAGAACTGAACTAGAACTGAACTAGAAGAACTAGAACTGAACTAGAACTGAACTAGAACTGAACTAGAACTGAACTAGAACTGAACTAGAACTGAACTAGAACTGAACTAGAACTGAACTAGAACTGAACTAGAACTGAACTAGAAAACTAGAACTGAACTAGAACTGAACTAGAACTGAACTAGAACTGAACTAGAACTGAACTAGAACTGAACTAGAACTGAACTAGAACTGAACTAGAACTGAACTAGAACTGAACTAGAACTGAACTAGAACTGAACTAGAACTGAACTAGAACTGAAAGAACTGAACTAGAACTGAACTAGAACTGAACTAGAACTGAACTAGAACTGACTAGAACTGAACTAGAACTGAACTAGAACTGACCTAGAACTGAACTAGAACTGAACTAGACTGACTAGAACTGAACTAGAACTGAACTAGAACTGAACTAGAACTGAACTAGAACTCAACTTAGAACTGAACTAGAACTGACTAGAACTGAACTAGAACTGAACTAGAAACTGAACTAGAACTGAACTAGAACTGAACTAGAACTGAACTAGAACTGAACTAGAACTGAACTAGAACTGAACTAGAACTGAACTAGAACTGAACTAGAACTGAACTAGAACTGAACTAGAACTGAACTAGAACTGAACTAGAACTGAACTAGAACTGAACTAGAACTGAACTAGAACTGAACTAGAACTGAACTAGAAACTGAACTAGAACTGAACTAGAAACTGAACTAGAACTGAACTAGAAACTGAACTAGAACTGAACTAGAAACTGAACTAGAACTGAACTAGAAACTGAACTAGAACTGAACTAGAACTGAACTAGAACCTACTAATGAACTGAACTAGAACTGACTAGAACTGACTAGAATGAACTAGAACTAGAACTGAACTAGAACTGAACTAGAACTGAACTAGAACTGAACTAGAACTGAACTAGAACTGAACTAGAACTGAACTAGAACTGAACTAGAACTGAACTAGAACTGAACTAGAACTGAACTAGAACTGAACTAGAACTGAACTAGAACTGAACTAGAACTGAACTAGAACTGAACTAGAACTGAACTAGAAACTGAACTAGAACTGAACTAGAACTGAACTAGAACCGAACTAGAACTGAACTGGAACAGACTGAATCTTTGCAGATCATTTTGCGATGAGTAAAAAAAACTATATAACTTTGAATACAATCTACAGTCAATGCTTGGAACAACGTAACTCGTAAGATTTAAATAAACTTACTTTAAATGTACATAGTTTAGAGATCTCAAATAAGAAATCATTGCAAATTTATGTTTCACGTGAACACAAAAAAAGCACCAAGGTCGCACATAAATAATTAATGGGAAAAATATACAGAAAATACTCAAAAGTACACAACACTAGTTATTAGAAAAGTAAATATTTAAATAAATAAATTAAAACTAAAATAGGTGATTTTTTTCTCTCGCTCTTAGAAAGAAAATAAATTACGAATATTGAAATGTAAATATTATATGTAGCACCTACAAACATTGATCGATACATGTTTGTATTTTGTACATCACTCACTAAGTATTTGATGGATCTACATGTACGAATATCTACGATATGTTGTCTATCTGAAGGGAGTAGTATTTGTTAAACAAACAGTTGTAAGAAAACAACAGCTCAGTAACACAGAAAATTATATATAAAACATATATAGATATATGAGTATTTTATAGATGGTTTTCCACTTCACCACTTTAGTTTGTTGGCGGAAATAAACAAAAAAGTAAATAAAAAGAAAAATTAAATAATAGTATTTTTTTATTATTAAGTGAGTGAGATATACCTTGTACTTATCGGTTTCCAAAGTGTTTTATTATAGGCCTATTTAAAATAATGTTATAGTATTGATGATGGCGTTGATGATTAAATTAATTTGAAGTAGTTAGTTGGGTGTATGAAGAAAATAATTAAATATATTTTAAATTAAACTTTTAACGGCTATTTATATATTTCTTCGATAACAAAACTAAAGAAGTTTTTTAAGTTGTATTTATTTTTTCTTTTATTTTGAAAAATAATGCTCAAAGTACAAGGTCGTTTGGGGAATTCCATATTGTGAAGTGAGTTAAAGTTTTTGCCGCCACATAGTTTTTCAATAAAAGTAGGTAAATGCAATTTAGTGCAGACACAGTTTATACCGTTAACCAGTTTATAATCAATTTAAACTTTTTTTATCAATTAGTTGTCTGTACGGAAGAAATGCAAGAATTGCATTACATAAGAAAATAAAAATATTATGAGTAGATAGCGGCTGTTAAAATGAATGATAAGATTTTAGAATAAAAATTCGATTCGGTATTTATACCCTACACCACATAGTGGGGAGGGTATTATACGTTTGTGCTGATGATTGTAACACACATAAATGTTGGTCCTACTCCCATCTTAAAGTATACCGAATAACTTTCTCAGTCGATTAAGACATATCCGTCCGTCTGTCCGGCTGGTCTTGTGCGCAAGATACCGGCCACAATTTTAAAGATATTTTAATAAAATTTGGACCATAAGTGTTTTTTGGCACAAGGACGATGCCTATTGAAAATGGTTAAATTGGTCCATTACAGCCCCCATACAACCTGACCGACCATCCGATTTGAGGTTTTTAATTCATAACTACGTCAAATATACTACTATATATCCAAAAATTGGCACAACTAAAGTTATATAGGCATAAATGACTAAGGCGATTACTATAATCATCGGCCGTCATTTGACCCTATCCCCATACAAACCCCCCTTTAAAAAAGTATCTTAAACGTCCAAAAATTGATTTATAACCATTATTAGAGCGATGAAATTCAGCGTAACTAACCTTTATATAGAAATACATCTCTCCTCCCAATTTGTTGAGGATTGGTCCATGCTTGACCCTAACTCCCATTGTCTAAAAGAGGCTTTATATGGGAGAATATATATTTTTTAAAAATACTCATGGTGTAGGGTATCATATAGTCGGTCATGCCCTACTACACTTTCGTACATGTTTAAATTAATGTTATAACTTTTTGGTATTTGACTAAACAATAGACCTGCCCTTAAAACTATAATTCTTAACAATTGGTGAATTTCAATTAGAACTGAACTTAATCTGAACTAAAAGTAGAACTGAACTAGAACTGAACTAGAACTGAACTAGAACTGAACTAGAACTGAACTAGAACTGAACTAGAACTGAACTAGAACTGAACTAGAACTGAACTAGAACTGAACTAGAACTGAACTAGAACTGAACTAGAACTGAACTAGAACTGAACTAGAACTGAACTAGAACTGAACTAGAACTGAAGTAGAACTGAACTAGAACTGAACTAGAACTGAACTAGAACTGAACTAGAACTGAACTAGAACTGAACTAGAACTGAACTAGAACTGAACTAGAACTGAACTAGAACTGAACTAGAACTGAACTAGAACTGAACTAGAACTGAACTAGAACTGACTAGAACTGAACTAGAACTGAACTAGAACTAGAACTGAACTAGAACTGAACTAGAACTGAACTAGAACTGAACTAGAACTGAACTAGAACTGAACTAGAACTGAACTAGAACTGAACTAGAACTGAACTAGAACTGAACTAGAACTGAACTAGAACTGAACTAGAACTGAACTAGAACTGAACTAGAACTGAACTAGAACTGAACTAGAACTGAACTAGACTGAACTAGAACGAACTAGAACTGAACTAGAACTGAACTAGAACTGAACTAGAACTGAACTAGAACTGAACTAGAACTGAACTAGAACTGAACTAGAACTGAACTAGAACTGAACTAGAACTGAACTAGAACTGAACTAGAACTGAACTAGAACTGAACTAGAACTGAACTAGAACTGAACTAGAACTGAACTAGAACTGAACTAGAACTGAACTAGAACTGAACTAGAACTGAACTAGAACTGAACTAGAACTGAATAGAACTGAACTAGAACTGAACTAGAACTGAACTAGAACTGAACTAGAACCGAACTAGAACTGAACCAAATTGGAACTGAAGAAGAACATCTGAAATGAAACTAGCACTGAACGGAATTAGTACTAAACCAGAAATAACTTGAACTGAATTTCCAAAAAGTTAGACATACATACATATGTACATACATATGTATATGTATATCAATTTCAAATGCTAAAGATTATGAAAAAAAATTATATTTCTGCATTTACTACCATGATTAAATAAAGCTTCATTTCTGTTTCCTCGATCATTTTATGTATATGATCTTAAGTAATTAAAATAAATCACTACGTGACCTCAAATAATTGAGATAGAATTGAATTAAATCAAACCAATCAACACACATCGTTAAAACAACAAATAAATCTTGTATTTTTTTCTCTTTCGAAATTGTAGTGATTTTCTTATTTAGTTCGCGCATAAATATCAATTGCAAGGTGTTATTAATTTATCAGCACGCGCTGAACTCTTCTGAAGCCGCTTGCGCAAAAAATGCAATAATTCTTAAACAATTACGAGAACAATAAATAAATAAATACGGATCGTAG